GACGTAGGAACGTGCCTAGGGTCTCGAGGCCACGCCCTCGACCAATGGTGACGTAGGAACGTACCTCGTGTCTCTAGACCACGCCCCTCGGCAATGGTGGCGTAGGAACGTCCCCCCATGTCTTGCTGACCAATGGTGGACGTTTTTCACATAGCTCTTTCCAGTGCCTTCTTTTTTCTGTACGAATTTTCCTGTACAGTTCCCTCTTCCTTGCGCGGTACTTTTCCTCGATCTCCTCGATGACCTCAGGATTGATTTCTGCTCTGCCTCTTGCTCTTGTTAACCTTCTTCTCATTGCTATACAAACATTTCTTAGTGCCTCGATGTCCGCATTCCACCAATATGGCATCCTGTTGACATCTTGGCGACCAATCTTGCTTCCTTCCATCGCTTCTTTAATGACTCTCTCCAGGCTTTCCACCGTCGGTGATTGATCCTCCATTATGCTTACTCTCCATGTTAGTACCTAAAAGAAAACAATTTTTTTAATGTGCATTTTTTTCTCGAAAATAAATAAATAATGATCATTTCTTACTATATTGTTATTCATATATAGTTATATTAAATATTTAGTCACATCAAAATATTAACAGAAAATTACAACTTACAAGAATTCACGTTACAGACGAAAGGATAATGGTCTCTTTCTATATGATAAATTTGTTAATTTAGTCTTTTTCCTAAGTTATTTGTTATAATCATTTATTACCCAATGTAAAACACGACCTGGTGTTGACTGCGGCTCTGATTACCAACTCCTTTTTCCAACACTAAAGCACAAATTCAAAGCATGTGCTAGGGTCCCAAATAAGAGGATATCACAAATAAAAGGTTCATACCAGTTTAAAAGCCACTGTAATAAAATATTTGAAAATATTGTACCAATCATCGGCACTCATGGTTCCGAAATGATTTGGCTGTCTTTTAAAAATACCTTGATACAGATCTTGACTGACTCCGAGGGACAGTCTCAACCGGACCAACAAAAGTGTGGATGTCTGCAGATACTTTTGACCTCATTGAAGAAAGTAGAGAACTCAAAATTGCTGGAATTGGGAACATTCTTGGGAATTCCCAACATTGACTGTTATCTGGAGCTATTCAGGCTGCTTGTAGTCGAGATAAGAACAAGTATATAAAGAAAATCTGCAGTGAGATTCAACAACATGCCGACACAAATAGCACCAAAGAAGTGTTCGATAAAGTCAGACTACTCATACGTAAATTCAAGCAGAAATCTTGGTCTATCAAAGGTCATGAAGGCAATGTACAGACGGATTGGGACAAGGTTATAGATGTCTTCTGTTTTCTTTGATTTTTGATTCACGGTAATTTACTGATCAAAATTTATTATTTAATTATTTATTTTTACATATAGTTGTATATCGGAGAATTGTAAAAGTCCAGTTCTCTTATATTTTATCAGCTAGAAAACGTAGACATTCACCGTTTTATTTTTATTTTCATTTCAACTATTTGTTGAATTAAGTTGTTCTCAACTTATTTATTTCTTTTACTAACAACAAGTTCCCTGATTGAGTATTAAATTTTAACAATTTGAGAGTTCTATTACGACAGGAAATAAAAATCAAACTGCATAAGCCTTAGGCAAGTTTGCGAATTATTTCCACGGAACATTATGTGTGTTGGCAACATTTAATCAACAATTGAAGACACGAGTGGATGAAGGTGCTATGTTACAAAATTTAGATTTTGAGAAATTAAGGTTAAAGTTTTTCATTGTAAACTTTTCTCACATTCACTTTATTAGGTAAAAACTTTTCTATGTCGTTACTAGTATATGGAATATGTTATTCACGGAAAAAAATATCAACAAAAAAAAATGTGTCTTACCAAAATTTGAAAAAAACAGTACATAACACCTTCATCTACTGTATAATTCTAAAGAAATTAAAACAACTACTGTTTTATGGAAGAATCATGTATTAAAGAAAAACTTATCTAATCAGCTAACAAGATGTTATTGCTTAATATAAGGTAATAACAGTAATATAACGTAATACATTATTTTTTTTTTCTAAGATTGGTTTATAGAAATATCGATATTCTGGTTTTACAAACTTAAGCTGTTCTTGGAGATTTTTTTTTTCTTCAGAGATAGTTCCATATTTCTTCCGAATTCTTTCGATTTCAATATTCTCTGGCGCTGCTGTTCTATTCTTATTTTGAAGAATATTTACTTTTCTAAAAGGAACTGTTTCGTCATATGATTCTTTATACAAATAGGAACCATACTCTTCCACTCTTATCCATTTAATACCGTCTCTAAATCTGACTGTTTCATTTAGTTCGTCCTTTTTTCTGTTAGTAAGATTAAGTTTTTGCGGTAGATCAGCAATCCTTCTAAAGTGTTGAGCCATGTCGATGACTTGATTTTTTCGGCTAGCCTTTGAAATTATTTCCCGGTACGTATCTGGTACATATACCGTGTCGTGTTTTCATAAAACCTTCTCTATTCTTCCGAAGTCTCTGTCACAATCTAAGTAAGTATGGCCAACCTCAGGAAACTTGTGGTCAATACAACGGAAGTATCCCTTCAAAATAAGATACTGATTAAGGCAAATCATGTGGAAGTTCTTGTTCTGGCCCGCACATGAATCGGACCAGATGATTAGATAATCCTTTTTGGTGATGCTTTCGTCGACTTCAATATATCTGAGTAGAGAACTGCATATTTCTGCACTTCCTCTGTTTGCAAGATCTTCGGTCCAGGTACAAAAACATGCTTTGTCTAGGCCTTTTGTAGTAATGTGGACCCCAAAATTATAAAACCACATTTGCCTAAGGTAAAATGCTTTGGACGTTGTTATTTTTGGCAGTGGCATTGTTTGTTGCATATCAATTGTAATATAGACCAAGTTGTCTGAATCTTTTGCTTTTTCCTTGTCAACTTTGAGCGCTTTAGTTGATGCTGTGTAGTTTTCTTTATGTCCATCGTTAGATTCACCTCCATCACATATACTACACTTATCACTTTTCGGATACCCAAATGATAAATTAAACTCTCGCGAAAAAATGTTGGAATATGAACATTTTTTAATTCTAAATTTTCCAGGAAGTTGTGCCAGATTACATTCCTCAAGATAGAACTCATACATTTTGCTCACATTTAGTAGGGGAGAAAGATATTTTTATGAGGATTTCTATTTCTGGAATAGTGCGACTCTTCTACAGGAAATTTATTTATGTGCTCTATCACAAAATCCCTAACATCTTGGCCTATTTTGTGTGGCCTATTGGAGTGCTTACCTCTGCGATCTGGAGGAGGTGCTGCTACACCACTATTTATAAGATTATTTATAACATTAAGTTTTTTCTGCCTATTTGGTATAGAGCGCATAACGCTTCTTTGCACACCTTTACGGTAATTCCATTTTTTGTAACGTTATACGTATATGACGCAGTTTTATGTTTAACAGCATCTTTTCTTTCCCTCAACACTGGTTTTTTAATGATTGATTTAAATAGTAAAGCATTTTTTGCATTAATATCAAGTCTATGAAATTCATCCAAAAATGCATTCCTGTCATCTGCTGAAAATTTAGTGCTACAAGAAAATCTACAGCCTTGTCTACAAAGAATACCTTTTTCTGGCTCCTTTCTTGGAACGGGAATGTTTTTGTAAGACAAATATTCTTCACCTTTTGCTCTATCTAAAGCTGCTTTGCGTTTCTTCCACGTATTTGGATGTCGTTTCGTTTTTTGGAAACTTTTGCTGTCGTTGAAAAAATCTTTTGCTTTCTTTGCTTTTCATTTTCTTGGTCAACCTCGTTAGACCCGTTAGAAGGATTAATTATAGGCTTTTGAATAATCCCGCTTCCTTCTTTGTCTCCAGAAATGAATGTACCTCCAACAAGGTTTTTTACATGACTGTGGTCCGCTCTTTCTTCGTCCTCCGTGACACTAGTTCCTGAAGAACTGCTTCGTTCATTACTCGGAAAGTATTCAGCATCACCACTGCTGTCTGACAAGAATGGTTGGGTCCCCTCCAAATCTGAAAATAAAAACAGCTATTTACTTATACTTATATTTTAATTCTTCCTAATTATTATTGTTTAAAAATTACTTTTGAAAAGATAGGGAATCCCCGAGCAATCAAGTGTAAATATTTATAACAGATGATAGTTGGGTTATGTATTTCAACCAGCTCATTTACACTTTTATATAAATATTATGATCTAAATACCTATTACCCAAAATATAATAAAACTTAATTATTTCATAACAACAGGATTGCACTTACCTGTTACATTTGAAATTTCAATGTTGAGGTTAGAACTTGCTGTGAATTCATTTTCATCATTTGGCAAATTTTGTTCACAGTTTATTTGTTCCTGCACTAGTTTTAACATTTGTTTACCTGGAACTCATTATAAATGTTAACTAGCATTAATATTATGATATTACTGCAAAAAACTGTAATAATGACACAGAACACGTGCGCGCAATACCAACTCACCAAGTAAAACAAAATGGCCAGTGAGTGGATGAAGGGGTTATGTGTGTCACTTAACACCATCATTCATATGACGAAGGTATACAAAATATTACATGAATGTGGATGAAGGTATTTTGTGCCTATAACACCTTCCTCCATTATTCACTGGAAAATATAATGTAACATAACTCCTTCATCCTTTAAAAAACCTAGACTTCTGTTACGAATCTTAGAATTCTAATGTGGCCACGTGATAAACAGGTACATAATACCTTCATCCATACAAAAAAAAACCGTTTTTAGAAAAATGTTACATAGCACCTTCATCCACTCGTGTCTTCAATTGTATTATCAATATATCTTATATTTTTGGTTTTAATAACGAAATTTGTTGTAAAAGGTCTAAGGTAAAAATCAAAATAAAAAAAAGATAGTGGCAATTTCAAATATATACTTGTACATAATATAATTATATTTCGTATAGATTTTTGCGAATACGGTATATAGATATATTGAAAAATAGGATATATATTTTTTTCAGTCCCTCCAATGTTATGGATTCCGCATCAACTGGTAGGAGCTCCGTTAAATTACGCCGTGACCCTCGACTGTTTCTCGGAGGCGAATCCAAGTTCCCTAAACTACTGGACCCGAGAAGACGGCCAGAATATGATACACGATTCACGGAAGTATCGCACAGAAAACAGCGTTGGCAATCCTTCATATAAAACCCACATGAAACTCACCATTAACAACATTCAGCAAAGTGACTACGGCACCTACAAATGTGTCGCGAAGAATCCCAGAGGGGAGACGGATGGGACTATTAGGCTTTACCGTAAGTTCCACCGTTTATTACTAAATATATTAGCATCACGAACAGAACGCTTTTGTCTTTTTTGTTGGACGTCAAGACTGATCAATATTTATTTTACATTGAATGTGTAAATTACACAAAAATATTACAAAAACATAAGATTTAATTTTAGATTTATATAAATTGTTAAAAAATATATTTCAGACGTATATTCTCCTACTTAATACGTATCTTCACCTCCAAGTTAGTACACACTGGTAAAATGAGTAACTCCACAGGAGATTAAGTTACCAACCCCCAGTTCAAGGTGGGGTCAGGGCTGATGAAGAAGGGAGTGTTGATCCTCTGATGACTAGGGGATTGAGCGAAAAGCTAACAACTCTTGCTTATAAAACCCAATTGTTGCGAATACAATGGCTAATAAGATAAACGGACGGATCTCACAACGACGAACTCAGCAAAGAAAAATGGACATAATTATGGCTTTAAAATTTGGAACTTGGAATGTGGGAACCTCTTAAAAGTAGGATCTATGATTAGTTTGGCAGAAGAACTTAAAAAATATGAAATTGAAATATTCATACAGTAGGAAATCAGATGGAAGAGCCAAGGAGAAATTTGTATAAATAAAATCTTACTATACTACTCCGGAAATGAAATCAAATTAGGTGACAGAAGAGTGGTTTATAGTAACCAAAAGATTGTGAAAATCCATTATCGCAATGGTTAATATATCATCATCCAGCCGAATTTTCACATCCATTGTTGGATATAGGCCTCCTCCAAACGTCTCCAGTTTTCTCTATCTCCAGCTGCTGCAATCCAGTTTGTTTCTATCCTCCTTAGGTCGTCGGTCCATCGGGTGGGTGATCTGCCTCGACTTTGCTCGTCGGCTCTTGGTCTCCACTCCAATAATCTCTTCGTCCATCTTCCGTCTTTCATTCTAGCAACATGTCCAGCACACCTCCACTTTTGTTTATTGATTCGCAGTATAATATCGTCTACGCCAGTTCGTCGGCGTATCTCCTCATTTCTTACGCGATCTTTCAAGGTCAGGCCCCAGCATTGATCTCTCCATTCGCCTTTGTGTTACCCTCAGTTTTTCGGCAGTAGCTTTCGTTAAAGTTAAGGTCTCTGCTCCGTAGGTCAAGACTGGTAAGATGCATTGGTTAAATGCCTTCCTTTTCAGGTGAATTCAGGTTAATATATATGCACCGACAAAAGAGGTTTTTGAAGAATAGGTTGAAAGATTCTATGGAAAACTACAGGAAGTGTCTATGTGATAAAATCAAAAGACACGATTCTGTTATGAACATTAGGTGATTTTAATGCTAAGCTGGAAAAAGAAGAAACTTTTCTCATCATATTTATAAACATAGTTAAAATATACTAAAACCTAAAACCAGTTAAAATATACTTAGGGTTGCACAATTCGTAGAAGTAAATAATTATGTAGTTGTCAGTACTATGTTCCAAAAAATAATATCCATAAAGGAACGTTGAAAATACCAGGAACCAATGAAGCCAACCAAATTGACCAGATCCTTTGGCAACAGACAACTAAGGTCATAATTTATCGCGGGGCGAACTCTAACTTACATCAATATGTTGTGGGGGCAAAATTACGGCAGAAAATCGCAACATTGGCAAAAGAGACAAATAGTTGAATTAAAAAATGGAATTTTGCAGGATTGAAAACACAACAAATAAACAAGAATACCAAAATGTCCTAACTAATGTGTAATGACATTATATTGACATAATTTTTAAGAACTTACAACACAACAAAACAACAAGAATATTTTCTCGAAATAAAACCTTAAGGAACTATAGACGAAGATAGTGTAGAGGAGAAATGGAGACAATTAAAACAATAACAACGGAATCTGCAGACGAAACTCTTGGAAACAAGAGACAATGAAATGCGGAATGATATGAGCCATCAAGCTAAATATTTTGGTGTAACCCTTGACAAAAAGCTCACGTTCACAGAACATGTGAACCAAACGGTCTACAAATCCAAGAAAACACATAGCCAACTCTCCTTGCTAATAGGTAGGAGAAGCAAATTAAGATTTACCACCAAAATCAGAATGGCCAACAGCATAATCCTGCCCACTTTCCCATACGCTTCTGTGGCATGGGGACACATATGTAAAACCAACAGAAAGAAAATACAAACAGCCCAAAACTACATAATAAGGGAAGCCCTCAATGCTCCAACCTATGTACCCTTAAGATATATTTATCGGGACACCATGCAGGAAAAAATACTGCGGGCAATGGATGAAAACAACAGGAACCACCCCAACAGAAAGCTGAGAGAGCTAACAGAATATGACGAAAACGTAAGAATGGTACACAGACGACCAAAACACCAAATAACTGGATATAGGTTCGTCCCATAACATATAGTCACCAGACCGAGATATCTATGAAGCAGTCAAAACACGCGGAGTAGGAAAAAAATGAGCTGGCTAAGGCCTTTAACCGATTTCAGATTGTTAAATGTCGGAGCAAGCTCACCAAAAAATATATACTAGCCTTAGTTAAAATCTACTACCGCGATGATTTTCTATTCTATTGAGAGAGTACTGATCGGACTCACACCCACACTCACTAAACGCTGGTATAAAAGGCACTTTTATACAGCCACTTAGGCTACTTGGCCCTTAAGGCAGGCCGATTGGGCGGCCTACTCGCGAAATCTGAGCATTGAGACCATGTGCGGCATACATGGGCTCGATGGTCAGACCCTTCGGATGCCCAGCTGTCAAGGAGACCAAAATCTTTTGCCAAATCGGCAGCTGAGTGTCCGAACACGCAATGACCGGGCGGAGAGACTCCAACCCAGGTTGGTGGATCTCCGCTCGGGACATACACTATAGGGACCTCAGTCCAGAAGTCATGACTTCAACAAAGTAAATAGGGAGAAAAGCTGAAAAGCTACACTTAAAGCAAGGTGGCATCACCGCAACCATGTAAAACGGAGAGTGTTTCTTTTAGGTACCGTCTCGTAGATACCGAGCCAACATGACACGCTCTTTTGGAACGAGACCGGTTTGATCTTCGGACATGGGGGTCCCACTGTATAGCAGTAGTACACTCATGTTCCTAGGGGTTGGGATGAACTGTGCTGTGTGTGTGTGTGTGTGTGTGTGTGTGTGGATATAACCATAGTCGCAACAGATAAAAAGGCATTAAAGAAAGCCTTCCAAGAAATAGAAAACGAAACCAAACTGAGAGAACTGGAAATAAATGAAAATAAAACAAAATACATGAACGTAAGCAAGAAAAAGAAGACATAAATGACAGAACTTACAATAGATGTACACAGATTCGAAGAGGTTAATTTTTTTTTGTTTAAATAATTTTTTAAAAGAATTACAAAAAGAATGAGAAGTATAGGAATGGATTAATTTATTTCCAATTCTTCAGCAGAATTTTAAATTTGATATAATATCCGATTTTGGATGAGAATAATCCTGAAACGCGGTGTATCAGGTTGACACTTCATCACCAAAAGTCGAAGCGAGTAGATCGTCATATCTCCTATAAAATTCGAGAAAAAATATCGCTAAACTTACTGTCGAATCGGGCTGAATACAAGCTGTTGAAGAACTTATTTAAGTGAGGGGCGATTTTTGTGACGAACATAGAATGTCCGAGCAAAACGGGGAGACCAAGACCGAGTGACGACTTGACAAATGGAAGCCTCGTGTATGACCCAGCAGGATATTTAGTAATTTGAATGATTTTTACGTAAACGCCATTTCACACGAAATGAGATTGATCGATTATCTTTTTATATGAACGTCGCTCAACGAGAGCACTATTTTCTGCAGCTTTATCATAGAAAAACTGTATGAAAACATGATAAAATTTTAAGTTTGCATATGGATGTGTATGTATATATGGCGTGGGTTGTATAAAACCGTATTTTTAAATGATTAAGTATAACTTTATAGCCTATTTCATATTGCTTAAATGTTTCTATTAAATGTTTATTGCACTTTTAGTTGAAAAAACTGTATTTCTGATAGTAAATTACAACTAATAAACTCGTCACAAAATTCTGACTGTTAAAGAATATATTCTATTGACAGACTAATTACTTAACTTAGTGAAGCTCAAACGAATACTTAACTTTTTGTACTATAAAAAAATGCTTATAATTCTTTAAAACTCTTTATATTAATTCTTTAAACCTAAGCCTAGACTTAAGACATAAATTAATGGTCTCACCATAAAATGAAGAAAAAAGTGTCAAAATACAAGTCGTCACGACATATGAAAGCCAAGTATTTTTATTTATTATTACAACGAAAAGAGATCGATCCCAATACATAGTATATCAGGTTACGCAGCTTTAGTGCCTGTGCTTTGAGGGTGAACATTTTACAGTCTTTCTTTCGGGTGAACATTTATGTTGATTGAAATGGTAATAAAGTAAACTGAGTTATTAGCGTCTGGAGCGGGTACATACTCCTACCTCCTAGTGAGACCCCAATGGGAAATAACAAACGGTCATTAAAAAGTGTCTGCTTCCATTATTTAATTTTAATTTTGACTGAAATTTCTATTTGTCATAACTTTTGAATAGTAAGTTTGTTGTATTTTATATTTTGATCTAACTCTACACGATTTTTTTAAATTAAGCATATTTATTTTTCCCCATACAATTACTTAATTTTTCAGTCAAAAAAGTCTAATTAAAGTTTGGCAAAGTAAACCTTAGATTTAAACTAATTTAAATTTTCTTGTAAACATTATTTTGAACAAATATTTAATTTTTAAGTATTATTACTCTCCTAATATTATCTCTTCTATTATTTATTATTATCTATTATTATTTATCTATTATTCTATTATCTCTTGGTCTTTGTTGTTGAAAGAAGTAATGTTCCATTTTGCTAATCTTATTGTGGGCTTATTTTTAATTCTCGCTTTCCTTTTCTTTGCGTGGTTCGTCATCTTAGGTTCCGTCAGAGAACTACGAACGTGTGTTCGTAGTTCTCTGGTTCCGTCTGGTTTCGAGATTTATATAGGTTCTTTGGGCCTTGTTTTCTTTTACAATGGTTAGGATGCTAACCTGGCCCATCAACCCTCCTCTTTTATCTGGGCTTGGGACCGGCTGTGGGCATGAACGCGACTTCTGAGCTATTTGATCCACCCAGTCATCGCGCTCATTACCCCCAGGCAGAGTAAAATTAAACTATCTTCACAATTTCCCATGTTAATAATATTAGTTATTTGAATTATTTTTTAATATTCCTCATTTTCTTTAACACTGCGCAGAATTTTTGATGCGCTTTGATGTTTTCCCCAAGGTGTTTTTTTTTTATTTAATGAATTGATAATTCCAATACTTTGGTCTAATGAAATGTTCGTTTTCTAATCTAGTGATTGATTCAGCAATATTTACAAAATTTGTTTAGATATGTGCCAAATTACTTTTTAATAACGGTTTTTTTAAAACCTTCACACATTTTTTATCTAAGCACCTGTGTTATCTACATTGAAACTACAAATGACGTCTCTAATTCCCTCAAAGTTATCGGTTATGAAATTTATTGAATTTAACCATGTTCCCTATATAGTTATCACCGGATCAGTTGGTAAAGGTACATTAGGTAAACGATCTTTATACGCCTGTACTCTAGAGGCGCTTTTAAAAATATTTTTTTATATTTGATACAGGTATTGACATTGGAACCTGCATTGCAGTCACTCTCTATTTAATTTCGTATCACATAAAAAATATTTTAATGCTATCAGCTTGTCTTATGGTCAGTACTTACATACAAAATTGTATCTGTGTATGATGAGGAGAAAAGTTACTCAGACATTCATTTACAAACAGTTACTTTTTTCGTGTTTTTGAAACTCCTTAACGGAAACTAAATATCCGGTACTACACCCACTTTCGTTTAAACTTCCTATAACCAAATTTGCAATATAATGTCCTTTAACATCAGTCGTCTCATCAACAGATATCCATATTGGATTATTCCCAATTGCAGTTTTAATCGTTTCAACTTGAAGAAACTTGTACAACATCATAATTGTAGTACTTTTTTAAAAATTGTTGGAGTAATGGGTAATCCAATTTTGCAATTGGAATATTGCAACCAATCAGCAACTTGCAGAGATCTTTATTAAAATGTTGTTGGTAAGAAACTTTCATTTTATTTGTAGTTATTAGCTGCTGAACCGAACCTTGAGGCTTTTTTGCACGAGATCTCTGCATTGCAGTACCTTGATCAACCTGAAACTTTTTTTTACATACAATCTGAAAATGGGAAATAAAGAGGTTAACAAATATCATCGAATGAAAGTCACTTAATCCACTTTTTCAGAAAAATTTATTTACTTGCACTTTATTTTGACATTTTCAAACACTTTGATAAACACTTAAACACAAGATTACTGAACCAAAGAATAGGTACACCAAACTGAACTAACTGGAACTACAGACAGAACCACAATTGCATTTTGTCTTTTGCTAATGTTAAAACCTAAATGACCTGACGACGTCCCTGTCGGCTTCTGATCCCTGCTACAGCTTATCGCAAAGGTAAGATAAGAAGTCCCGTAACGGCATATTTTTGAAGGCATCTGGCCAAAACCAACCCTCCTCTCTGGCAAAGACTTTCCATCTCAAAACATCGAACTAACAACAAAAAACACTGTTTTTTTATATTTTTACGTTTACATAGAAGTATTAACCTTCCGCAGATAACGTGAAACATTTTAAAATTTTTGATAACGTCGGTCTAACAAACCGACTTTTTCTAAAATTAAAAAAAAATAGAAATTTAGCTGTAGGTGATAAATATTTGTAATAATATAATTGTGTATATTATTCTCTATACAAATATATAAAATTTATAATTTTTTTGTTATTTTAATAATTTTAAGGAGATATTAAAAAAAAGTGTCATTTTTATGAACAGTCTTTTAATAAAATCAAAATAATTATAACAAAAAAAATAAATTCTGGTTTCACTAAAACATAAATCAGTTACTTGTATGTTAATAAACAGAGAAAATAAAATTTTACTCTCAAAATTTTCACAGATCACTGAAACTATTCCAAATTTTGGGCACCATAATTTTCAAAACAATGCCTGGATATTTTCGCCACCTTGTAGTTCCATCTTTACCGATAAGGCAGGGTATTCTTGAAGTACAAGCGGTTTCTTCAAGAATAGGTAAGTTTTGTTGATTTTCAAACTCCTCTTCAGAGTATATATCCTCAATAGTTTCTATAATATGGTCGTCTATCAAACTCACATCATCATCATCTGGTTCTGCCTCTGAATCATTTAAAACTTCCCCATGAAGCCGCAACAGCCATTCTTGTTCCCTCTCGTAATTCATTAGAAACGTATGCCCTAAAATATAATATAAATCAATACCGCAAACAAAAAATCAAAAAAATTAGTCTTACCTCAAAATGTAACGGCAACTATAACGTCGGTTTGTGGGACCGAATCGTGTATAATACTGAAAATTCTTATTAAACGATACACGCTGTCCACTTGCTAAACTATAACTGAATAGATACAAGCACGTTCGAAAGGTACTATGAGGTGCAGATTGAAATAAAAATTAGCAGCGCTTAAACCGCGAAAATTTAAATCAGTCGGTGCGAGAGACATAACGTTATCAGCCGAAGGTTAAACAGTTTTAAGAAAAGAAAGAAGTTCATTTTTTCCAATGTTCTACATAATTTTAAATTTGATATAAAATCTGACTTTGGAAGAGAATCATATTGGAACGAATTGAATTAAAGAAACTAGCCAAACGCGGTGTATCTGGATGATACTTCTTCACCAAAAGTCGAAGCGAGCTGATCTCCTATATCTCTTATATACTTTCTTCTTCTTAAAGTTCCATCTCCTATAGGAGGTTGGATATCATAACGGCTATGGTCACTTTGTTGGCTGTTGCTCTGAAAAGTTGTAGTGAACTACAGTTAAACCATTCTCTAAGGTTCCTCAGCCAGGAGATGCGTCTTCTTCATATGCTTCTTCTTTCTTGGATCCTTCCTTGCATAATAATTCTCAGCAGCTCATATTTTTCCCCTCTGGTTATGTGACCCAAGCATTGGTAATCCTTTGAACCCACTGAATTTTTAATGTTCTTCTGTAACACCACATTTCTAACGCTTCTATTTTTCTTATGTGTTGTTTCTTTAATGTCCAAGATATTTTTTATATATATATTTATATTTTTCTCTTATATACAGGATCTCCTATATGTAGGCATATCTCCTATAAAATTAAAAAAAAAGAAATATTACTAAACTTACTGTCGAATGGGGCTGAACCATGCTGAAGAACTTATTTAAGTGAGGGGTGATTTTTGTGCCGAACATAGAATGTTCGAGCAAAACGGAGAGACCGAGTCGAGTGACGACTTGTCAAATGGAAGATTCGTGTATGACCCAGCAGGAGATTTAGTAATTTGACTGATTTTTACATGAATTTGCAGGATTTACTTTTTGATTCACAGGAATATGTAAATGTCTCGAAAACCTAAAATATTAATCAAAATAATATATAATACATACAAGACAGCCAGAGAAAAATACAATTGGGAAGAAAACGACAAAAGGTACAAGTGGGACACATAATATAGAAATATATAACAATAATATATAGATTATAGTACATATTTTTACATGTTTTACTTCATTTGCTTTTTTATTGCAGCTTCATCATCGCCAACATCTTCGTCAAGTGCCCCAACTACCCTTCTGTCTAAGAGTAGTATTTGGATCAAAGGAAACGGTTCTGGTCATGGAAGTTCTCTGTCAGTTTTACACATTTCCGATAAAGGTAAAAAATTATTATTTATTTAAATTTATTTTACCCTTTTATTGTAGTACTATAATAATTAACGCCCATAATATCAGCAATATTAGTGGTATTAGAAAAAAAATTGAAAGCTTTTATTTTATTTTGTTACGAAATAAGTACAGAAAAAAAAACGCCAATTAATGACCTTTGGGGTGTAATTTGGGGTGTAGGGCAATACTTTTTGAGTTATTTGCGAGTGAAAATGATCTTTTCTTAAAATAAAAATCACATTTTCAGACGGTTTGTCACAAATAACTCAAAAAGTACGTATTTTACTAAAATTTTCATATACGTATGCATGTACGTATTTTACTAAAAATATTCTTAGCGAAAATGTAGATTATGAAAACAAAATGGTGCACTCATAAAGTATGTAGACCAAGTACTCGGAAGTAGAGTTGTAGCTGATGAAAAGTAGTTTCTTATTTGTCAAATTCCAAATCGAATATTTCAACGTGAAATAATAAAACAATTAAGCAGTTTTCGAACTCATCAAAGTTTTTTGAAAGTGTCATAGATAAATGACTGGAACTTAACTGCATAAAATGGGATGTATTGGACTTTCCGAATACGAAGAAAATGGATGGAATCAATTAGTTTTAAAATCAGGGCATCTGCTACATTCCATTGGAGATAACGATAAGGCAGCTGGCGGTGTAGGCTTTCTGGTGCACAAGAAACACCTAGACCAAAAAATGGGATGTATTGGGACTTTACGAAATACGAAGAAAAGAAGCAAACCAATTAGTTTTAAAATCAGGCATCTGCTACATTCCATTAGAGAAAACGATAAGGCAGCTGGCGGCGTAGGCTTTCTGGTGCACAAGAAACACCTAGATAAAATTATAAAAATAGAGAGTGTAAGCTCAGAGTTGTGTACCTCATATTAAAACTGAACGAGAGACGCTCTATAAAATGTCCAAGTATATTCACCCACGACGAGCCATAGCGATAAAGAAATTGAAAACTTTTATGAAGATATACATAGAGCTATAGAAAAAGATAAAAACCACCACCTCATCTTAATGGGCGATTTTAACGCTAAACTTGGATTAGAAAGAAGATAACGCAGAAGTGGCTATGGGTTCATTTGGATATGGTGAACGAAATGATACGAGGAGGGTGCTACTACATTTTTGTTGCATCATCGGCTCTATGTGATGAACACAGATGGCATAACAAAAAATAAACGAAACGAAATCACTAAGTCATGGGAGTAATGTGTAGTGTCTGTGTTAAGTAAATGTCTTGTTACTTTAGTACAGTCGACGTCATTGTCTTTTACAAAGAGATGCTAGTTTGTATCCGAAACGTCTGCGGTCCCTCAGATGAGTACCGATTTACTCGTTTTAAAAGGTTTATATTTAATTATGTTGACTTGTATGTTTAACTTTTCTGTTGCATGTCTGAAAAAGTTGGCAAAAAATGATAAATTTCTTTATTAATAATTTCACGAAAAAAAATATTCTTCACTACAGGTTGTGCATCACATAAAATTATTAATCAATAATCTTATAAAATATTAAGTGGTAGATAGGAAAAATCATAATTATTAATTAATACTGAAGAGGAAAGTGATTTTAAATTTAGATATACAAGAAAATGTTATTTTAAAATGTTTGTAGTTATTAAAAATTATGTCTAAGTTTAGATCCATGGTCTTCTAATAACTAAATAAAACATTTAAAGTAAAAAGTAAATAAAAAAATACTTTTGCATTTGTTAATTTTTATATAGAATAAGTTATCAGTTTAATGATTTTTTCCCTTAATTATATAGTATTTATTTAAATTAAATATGTAATGTAAATGCTAAATAAAATATAAAATTCGTTAAGCCGCCCTTTTTACTATTTACTTGTAGAGGCAAATCACTTTATGCGTCGACTTTATCATGGATACTTTTAAATCCTGCATAAGTCATTTCTTATAATTGTGAATGAAGTTTACAGACAACAAGTAGTTGAAGACCAGTTAATCTCGTATATTATTCACAGTTATAGTTGCTATTTTCGCTAATTTATACTTTTATTACGCTAATTTTAAATTTTATACAAAACAATGAATAAGTCTTAATTTTAAGGTTAGTTATTGCTAATTGCAATGTTTTTCTAAAAACGAATCTAATATTTTAATTATATAGAACAAGTAAGTACCCTTTTAACTACCTACACATTAAAAATGGCTTAAATGATAATATACAACAAAATATTTTATAACAAACGATTTGTTGGCTTAACAAAACATAAGAGAAAGAAGTTTAAGTATAAAAACAATCATTTAAACCTCTTGAAATATTGTTCTTTTCCTTTTAAGCTTCGGAGTTGAAGAACGTCGTGAATCGTATTATTTCAAAAAGCAAGTTATAAAAATACTCCTTTAAACGGGAGATTTTGCTGACTATTTGGTGAATCGTTCCCTAATAAAATACTTAAAACAACACAAAAAATTTAAATGAAATTTCCTCTAACTTGATTCAGTATTCATCGCTTGATATTAATGACAGGGTGAAGCTTTTGTGATACCCCTCAACATTTTAACAAAACATTCGTAAAAACATAAAACATCTGATTGTCAAGCTAAACAGAAGCATTATTTAAATTAAGCTTTCCTTTTTGTGTTTCTGAATAGTCCGTAATTATCGTCATTAAAAACATTAGGTACACAATTGTTTCGCAAAGGAATTATTATTATATACCGATCTGAAATGTAAAAGACGATAGCTATAAGTTTTTTGCCAACCCTAAAAGATTTAAAAATGTAACACAACTCAACAGCTATTTTGGTGCCAAGAAGTAATAACGAATTTTATATAGTCGACATAATCGTCCTACCTACAGAACTATTCGCAGTGTGGTGGATAAGTTTTCGTCCACTGGTTTAGTAAAGTCTCAACCAACAAACGTATTTCGGCAAAATGCAAGATCTGCCGCAAACATCGTTGCTGTCCAGTAGAATCCAAAAACTTTTTAAGCTGCATCTTGAACTCTCCAGTATTCTTAGTGTCGATGATTGGTCACTTTTAGACCGCATTTCCTATCATCAAGCCGATAAAATCCTTCTTCTAAGCAACGAAACTCACAAAAAGAAATTCCAATCCCTTGTATCTTAGAAAAAATCACATTCCACCACTTCTACTTCTCATTCACCTCTTACTAACACCGTCGTTAATCTTTCTTCTTGTAATGTACCTACCTACTCACATGTAAGATAATTAAAGTATCTATGTATTTCTATATAGTTTTTAGTCACCTGGTATATGTTATTTACAATTATGAAAAGTTCTCATGTATAATCACTAATAATTATTTGCTGTTAGAAATCAGAATCAATACTCTTCATAAATATTTTCCTATTTAGAATAAATAAGTTTCGCTAGTTTATTCGCCTAATACTTCGTATCTATGGAATAATAATAATTTATTTCTCTTATTTCTTTGTTCGATAAGCTATCCGTATTTGCTATTTTAATATTAATATTTGAGTCCAATCTCTTGTACTCAAATCCATCCAGAAACATCGTTAAATAATTGTAGATAACAGAACTTATAAATTCATAGTTTTAAGAAATAACAGGCAGTGTAATTTTCATCCTCTAATATAATAAATTTATACATGTCAATATATTCTGTTTAATTCCAAAACAAAGAGTTAGTCCGGAGAAGAAATAAACGCATAGTATTCCATAACAAAATTTGGTGTCAGAACGTGGGATATTAGTAGCAGAGTTCCTCTGATTGCTGATAGAAGGAGAGCTGAGGAATTTTTGAATTGACTTGTTTCCTTCGAGGAATCATTCAAAAAAACTGTCAGTGTGGAAAAATCGCCACTACAACTAATTACATTGGGGTCCAGTACATCCAGTTCGAAATCCAGTTCCAGTCATAACCCAATTGTAGTTCCATCGGAAGTAGAGGTGAACCCGTGGAATAATAGACTATGCGACCAACAACAATATTCTACTTGTAAGTACATTCTATCTTAAATTCTGTCTCATATTTTAAAAATCTTGTAAACGTATGTCTACTTTATATCCTGATATAAGTAACTTATTTGACGAACAAATACCTTCTCCCGACTCAAATTCTCTTTCAAATTCTTCTACTTCTAATTCAAATAAAATGTCAGTATCAATTGAAATAGCTGAAAAACTTCTCATTAGATTTGATGGTACAAAATCAAAATTATACGAATTCATAGACAATTGTGATAAAGCATACAATTTAGTAAATCCGCAATCCAAACCCATCTTATTAGCCATTATAGAAACTAAATTAACCGATAAAGCTAGGGCCATAACTAGAAACAGAACATTTGACGAATGGAAAGATTTAAAAGACTTCTTATTAGATGCTTATTCTGAACGCCGAACTGAAGGTCAGTGGCAATTGGAATTACATTCCTTACGTCAGATGCCCAGTGAAAATGTAATGTCATTTGCAAATAAAGTTGAAAATTGCTATATAAAATTAATAAATACACTTGATCCAGACTTATCTCCAGATGCAAGAAATGCATGTACTAAACTCTTAAAAACTCAAGCACTAAATGTCTTTATTAGAGGATTAAACAAAGACCTCTCTATTTTAATCAAAGCCCGAAATCCAGATTCCTTAGAAAGAGCTGTTGCTATAGCAATTGCCGAAGAACAAGAACAGTTATCAAGACAAGAAATTTTCAGACCATTCTGTAATATTTGCAAACGAAATAACCATTCCTCAAATAACTGTCGATATAAAAACAATTCAGATAGAAATGTTAGACATCTTCAAAATTCTAGTTTTCAAAACCCAAAATATCCTAATTCAAATCTTCAAAGGTCAAATTCTCAAAATCAAAATTATAAACCTTCAAATTCAAATTCCAATTCTGATTTTCCTCCAAACTTAAGAAAAGAAAATACCAACACTTCCCAACGTTTTTGCAGATACTGCAAAAAACCAGGTCACGTTATAGAAGAATGTAGAAAACGCGAATTTA